GGGGGGGGGGGGGGGGGGGGGGGGGGGGGGGGGGGGGGGGGGCATTTTCGGCAGCTGGGTGCTTATGGTCAGAATTTTGCGTTCAACATAACGTTTGTCTGTTTTCCTGCTCTCCTCTCCAGATCCCGAAGATATTGGACCGTCTCTCCTAGTGCACACAAGCGTGCCATTTGGCATTCAACATTTAGAGATGGAGATGAACGATGTCAAAGACATCATCATATCACACGTGAACAAGATACTTCCTGACCTCCCAGTGCCGGTGAACAGTCGCTGTATACGATGGAGATATTCCCAAGTGTCACGCAGTGTAGAAGGGACCCCTGGATGTGCAGTATTGTGTGACATACCTCTCCTTATCGCCTGTGGTGATGCGTTTTCACATTCGAACTTTGATGGCTGTATCGAATCAGCCTTGTCCGTGGTGAACGCTTTTAGTAAAACGACACTCGATAGCAACTTGTAGCGTTACTGTGTTGTTGCTATGTGCATAATTGTCACGTTAGACGGGTTGCAGAACAACGTTGTAGTTGCGTGACGGCCCACTAAGGGCACGATTACGTCAGTTGCATAAAATTTACTCCCAAGCCTCGTTCACACGATAATTTTCTCAAATCGCAGCCATCTTGTGCAGTGCTGTCTTCACGTGTGAATTCGTTTCAATAAGGTTGCTTTGAGAATTCGCTGCGTTCATGGTAAACTTCAGAAGTTTTTGTACTTCGAAAAAGCGAGGCCTGGAGGTGAATTTAGCTAGTAGTCAAGGGGACTACCCAATCTCAGAGAGAAACCTGGAAAAGAGGGTCTGGGCAAAAGAGTAAGAAGACGCACAACTCAGTTCTGGTCGCAGAGCGGCATTGCCAAGAAAATGAAGAGAGAATTATAGAAAGTTGAAGATGTGGTAAGGGGACTGTATAAAATCGATAGCATTTCTAGTACCTTGACAACTGTCCGCAGGTGTAGGGTAACCCGCTTCATGCAGCTAGTTGTCCCAGGGACTATGACCCTTTATAACAACACTGCCCAAACTGTATTTTGATCGGGCGTTCCGAAGTGGGGGCGAGAAAACTCCGGGAGACAGCAAGAGATCTGTTTATTAAGCTTAGTACGAAAGATGGAGGCTCCAGGACTCCTGAGTAGCTAAATACAGGGTTCACTGTACCAGCTTTCACTGCTTATTGTTAACATACCATTTGAAAAAAAAATAAATGAGGGCAATGGCGTAAAATCAGACTGTTTTATTACAAAAATGAAATGCTAAATTAAAAATTAAAATTGATCGTACACAGTGGCTAATAGTTTTGTTGTTCAGTCTTTTAATTTCACATACTTTACAAAACATTCAGTAGGCTACCTTGGAAATTGTATAAAATATAGGTTTTACTTCCGACAAAATCTTTGTTCGCTGATAAACAATTTTGTCCTAAATACCACAGGCCACCACGCTCGTCAGACGAGGCAGTATGTTGGGTACCATGTGACATGGCACTGACCAATTCGGATCCAGTCCCCAATTGTTTCTTGCTTATGGAAATTCGCAAAGCTTTTATCTTTCTTGTTTCATCTTGGTCTCTGATCGCCTGTCACTTTAGACACTCTTGTTCCCAAGGCATTGCTCCCTCAAAACAGGAGCAAGCACTCTATGACCTCCTGATCTTTTAGCCTAGTTGCGTATTATCTACATGCAAAGCACAAACGCTATGAAAAAGTCAATTCGCCATTCTCAAAATGCATTACAGAAGTCAAACAGTCCAGTAGAAAACAGGTAAAAAGATCTCTTCCAATAATTCCTGATATAAATTCCCTAAGTATGTGTATCTAAAAGCACGATTAAAATATTTTCATTTTTATCTCCACTAGAAAAGAAATTGTCAGATATTACATAGTGTCTAGATAGCTTAATGTAATTTGGTCCAGTTCTGCCACTCTGTCACGCTCTGTCGCGCTCTGTCACGCAACGCGCTTGGTGGCGCTGCGTGACAAGACCTGAACTACATGTAACAGACTTATACTTGAAGATCAAATTCCTTTCTTACTTAGAGGCCAATAAAAACACTGTACATGCTGTATATTGCCGTGATAACAAACTGACTCTCATAAAAGAGAGCAGTTCACAGTTTTACCCATCTCGCAGTATCTTAATCTCAAAATAATATATATAATCCATATAAAAGCCATATAGCATGTTCATAAAAGCGCAGATGGGACAAACGAAGGTTGAGGGTGGTAGGGCGGAGTGGTAACTGTCTTTTTCCTCTCTTACGTCACCACGCGGAAAGCAACGTCACTGGCTTTCTGCTGTTCTTTTTTGCAATCTGAAACAACAGACACAAAAGCAGGGATTCTTTAATTCCAAATACAAATTTTAACCCAAAGTAACAGCCAAAGTAACTAATGACTACGCCAACAAATACCGAACAATAAAAAACTCAGGTGTGGTGATCCGGTTCGATCATCCCGTTTGATCATCCCGTAAAGGGACATCCTTGAGACAAGGTGTACACTTAGGAGCCGTGTCCAGGTAACTGTGTATGACTGGGACCTTGCCTAGTTCCTGTACGGTTTTCTCCCAGGCCTTCACGGTCAATTGATTTCGGTGACGTAACCGAACTTTTCGCCTCGGACCACGTGACCCGAAAACGATTGACCGAGTCATAATATCGAGGTCTAAGAACTAGGCAAACTGGGACCTGGACTAAGGGTGCGTTTGTTTAAGAAAATCCAAGATTGGATTCTTTGATCCGAAAACGGATTTTGTGTTTCTTTTCTAAACAGATTAATCAAAGATCACTCGGATCATGGTGCGTCAAAGGAACCGAAGACTCCTTGCCCAGAGTGGATTCTTCGGTTCCTTTGACGCACCATGATCCGAGAGATCCTGAATTAATCTGTTTACAAAAGAAACGCAAAATCCGTTTTCGGATTTAAGAATCCAATCTTGGATTTTCTAAAAGAAACGCACCCTAAGTCAAGTGTCCACTCTCGGAAGGTGTCCGTCAGTGGAGGTTTGATTGTATTTTAATTTGCAGACCTGTTTCTGAACCTGAACTGTGAAATGGTATAAAAAGCTCATTTACTTGACTTACAATCTACCCGATCGTAATACGAAATTTGTAATTTGGTGAAATTTTGTTTTAATGCTGCTTAATTTGCCGAATAACGCTTGACGCTACAAACGGCCAAAAGAACTTCACAGTGCTCAAAGTTATACCGACATAGTTTTATCTGAACCTGTTCCCGGCTCTTTCCACTGCTCTCGTGTTTTCCTGCACTTTTCACTCTACACATGCTTGCTGACGTTGTCTCCAACTGATCAGCCAGACTCATTCACCTCCCCAGAGGTCGCGATCCTTTTGATAAGCACAAAAACTCGCAACCTCTTGCCGGGCCCGATTTTTTACGCATTTGCAGAGTACTCGTTTTATATTCTCAGCCAACAGGATTCAGTTTTTTCAGACTTGACGGGAAGTCCAACTATAGAATAGGCCAGAGGTCGCGATTCTTGCTGCTTACCAAAAGAATCGCGGGCTCCGGAGACGACAATGCCAAAGACTCACCTTCAATAGCCAACTCTTTTTACGTAATTACCAGGAAAAGTTCCAAATGAGTGCGTGCGAGAAGACGTACCCACAAACCAACCGTCGTCGCATTTCTCCAGGACAATCACTTCATCGCCTTCCTCAAGGCGCAACTCATCTTCATTAACAGGTTCGTAACTGAACAAGGCGAGGTACCTGGAAGAGACAAACACCATCAATACTCAAATGCTTGCACCCGGCAAGTTTGAAAAATACGTTGATTAAGTGAAAGATTAGAGATGAACGAGTGTCTCCTTCAGTTACCATGGGAAGCAGGGATGGCGCTGCGGTGAGAGCGCTCGCCTCCCACCAATGTGGCCCAGGTTCGATTCCGGCTCGGTGACATATATCGGTTGAGTTTATCGTTTGTTCTCGCCTTGCTCTGAGGGTTTTCCTGGGGTTCTGTAGTCATTTCCAAATTCCTATTCGATCAGGATAGAGGACCCGCATCGAAAAGGAGCCGTGGCTGATGTGTCTTTCCCTCTAAATACTTATTTATCATCGACTACCATTCGCATGCGATTAAAAGGGCTGAGAGTTGATATCAACTTCCTGTCAAACGAGCGGAAACTAACTTTGATGGAAAACCGAGAATGAGAGGGCGAAAATTAGTTAAGTCATCAACTCTCGTTGACTAGATTAACACTTTTTTTTAGCTCACCGTGCAGTGCGCTGCAAGTGGACATGCTATCTCTGTCAACCAATCAAAAGCGAGACCAAACTAGCCGTGGGCTCGGTTTTCGCGCGCTTTCCCGCGTTTAGCGGCGCTGGTTGCATATTTTGTCTTCGAGTCCTGATTGGTCAACTGCGTTCTTTGCATTGACTGCAATTTTATTGGTGTTGGTTTAACATCCTTTCTTAGAGCACCGCTCAAGTTGCTTCACTCTTTGTATTTTTTATCCTTGCACTGGAATTACCAACATGTTCCTAAAATTTCCACTTCACTAAGTTATCTCTATTTACTGTTGAACATTACAATACCTTTCCCCTTGCTCGTGGCCTATTCTTATCGGCTCATCGATGACTGCATGTGCTACAATTCCACCAGCATTGAAGTGAGGCTCCTCTGGCTCCTCGATATACTTCACTTGCGTGTGTTTAACAGGAGCGGCCTGGCCTGAGTACATGGCCCCGGGGAGACTGGCGACAAAAAAGAAAACCTTAATGTCGAATATTGGCGCTTAAACATTCCATGCTGGAATTTTTCACCAGGCGTAAATTTTAACAGATTAAATACAGTTCGGCACTCTTACCCTCATGTTGCCTGCTGTCTGAATTCGTGACTGGGTTCTGGTCTTCCGAAATCAGGAGCCTACCAAATACAACAAGAATTCCCAACTGAATGACAACCAAATCATTTCTCCATAAGATATCACTACACTTAAAAGTACATTAGTGATGAGAATAAAGAAATGGCTTGAAATATCAGCAAATTCTCAGCAACAAACCTTAAAGAAATGTAAGGTAATCAGTAGAGAGAACTGATATTTGGATATCTGACAGTTTTTCTTACCTGCTCCGCACGTGCTGATTGCACCGGCTGTATTTGTTCTTGTCGTATTTGTTCTTGTCGAATGACTGCGGGAAAAAAAAACAGAGGAAAGGGTCTATTAATAACATCATCATCAAGATACACGCCGTCTGTTAAGATCAGAACGCTCAATGCCCCTCAAGGTTAAGTTTGGCAAACAACGAACAAGCGTTGACCTTGGAAGACAATGCGTTTAACCAAAAAAATAATAGCATTTTGTTGAACCTTTAAAATAAATGTTTGGTTTAGTTTTGTATTTGCTCACAGAAATCTTGCGCAAAGTGCTGGAATAAATCAGGGAAAAGAACATGGATCATAACCTTATAGAGACTCGGAAAAACAGAAAGGAAAACGCCATAGCGTCAGAACGAACGATACAAAACCACAAGTCTATAAAGAGTATGCAAACTCTCTACATACCTTTAACCTCAGGTTCTCTGAAGACCTGAAATTGGAAATGTAAGAGATCATGGAAATGAGTGCGACTGAGATTTCAGTAAATGACCAAAGTTAGTCGCTTCTAAAGAAACACTCGGGCTGCGCAGCGGGCAGGTGAAACACTAAGTAGCCTGTGAACAGGCTCTCTAGTCCGCGAGGATGGCGCGAAGAGAAAGCGGGAAGAAAGAGGATAGAAGAGAGAGAAGGGGAGGAGATCCCAGCCCCCACCCCGTTCTCCTCTCGGCCACTTCACTCTCAGTTAGTTCCTTCTCGGCCCTTCCAGCCGGAGCTTGTTCACAGATTAAACGCTTAGCTATTTATCAACTTGAAGTTAACCGCCGTAGCGAGTTTGTAAAACTGGCCATTCGAATGTTCACACTTCTTCAAAGCAAAGTGCTTTGTTCTGACTAGAGACATTTCATTACACATCTTCAAAGACCGATCTTTACCTTCGTGTCATATTAGGACAAACGTATTTGACGATTACTAGGACAAACGGACTCATTTAGACGGCTTGCAGTCGGCTTTTTCTCTCAGGGTCCGACGGGTACTTATCTTCGCGAACGCGAGAAAAAGGCTCGCCCCACACTCCTTTCTTAGGCCCCGACCACACTAAGGCGTTTACGAATGAAAACGCATACTTTTTGATGCGTTTTCGTCTGTCGTCCTTACTAAAACGACCGAAAACGCTAATGAAAAGGTTTTAAAAGTGAAAGCTCCATTTCTAGTGCGGATGCGTGGAAACGGAGGCTTTTAAAACGGTGCCGAAAAAAACCGTCATACACTATCGTTCCCATCAGCGTTTTCGAGCGTCAGTGTGGACGATAGACGAAAACGTATCAAAAAGTATGCGTTTTCGACTAAAAACGAATTAGTGTGGTCAGGCGAGGAAAACGAAATCGCTAGTGTGGGCGAAAATATCCTGCTTCGTTTTTGAAAGTATCCGAAAACGGATACTTTTAAAAACACATTAGTGCGTTTGGGGCCTTATTTACAAGAGAAAAACAGACTGAGATTGACATGGATTTAAAATTTTAATTATATCGACGATCAAAAGTGGGTTCTTACCTCTAAGTAGCTTGAAGGTACAATTCCTTTTCTGTCACCCACCCGTCCCTCGTACCAATTGGCATCCACTTTGCGAACTAAAGCTATAATATCTCCCTGAAAACAGAAGAGAATAGGAATTCATTACACTGGTCACGCCGGGTCACGACAGGTGGCGTGACAAGCAAAAGACGTCACGATTCCTCAGTGATTACGTTACTTTCAATTTAATGACAGTCGTTAGATGAAAACTCCCTAATCGAAATCTATCCAAAATTGTTTGGTCTTTCTCGATTGAGATTTCAGGGACGGTTGCTTTGAATTGATTAAAAGTAAACCGGACTTCGTTTCAATTTCTTTGTTGAAAGTGATGTTCATTGCTCGAATCAAGTTACAGTTTAGGATATAGGCGAAGTAAAACTGATGTTTGGTTGTTCATAGAAAGTTTAACATAATTCAAAACTTACGACAACGAGCAATATAGTTTTATAAAATTTCAGAAATGATATCTTTATTGTTTTTGGTCTTTCACTTATCTTAAGCTAAAACTAAAAATTACCGACAATAAATGTATTTAATCTGAGAAGGTTAAGTCAAACTCAGTTAATAACTGGGTCCTTTAAGTTTCGTAACTTACTTCATATAAGACAACACAAATGTGTCCTCCTACCTTACTACAAGGCAGCTCTCTTTGTGTCTCCGCTTTGAAGCTGTACCTCACCCGTGCCTCCCCCTCCAAAGTCACAGATTGTGTTGCTGGTTGAGCAGAAGGCCGCGGGGAAATCTGTTGAGCCTGGGGTTGAGTGAAAGTTGTTGGCTGTTGGTGTTGCTGTGGTTGTGTCTGTGGTTGTATAACACTAACTTGGACTCGTGGAGTTTGTTTTTGAGTGGGTGGGGGTGGGGGTGGTTCCTCGTCCTCTTCCTCCTCATCTGCAGGTCGAATCTGGACAAAAAGAGGAGTTCGATCAGTACTCTTATTCAATGGCAGATATAGAGGCACTCAAAAGGTGAGTGTTGGAGAAGAGCAGTAAACACAGGCTCGATTTTGTTCGGAAAAGGACGCGAACGAGCCATTTGAAAATCAAATACTGCTGTTGTCTGGAAATTCATTATGGCGGCCTCTTCAAATGAAATAATTCTTTCATGTTTTCGTAGCTAACCCAAAATAGATCGCAAACGTCTAACGCCAAACGCCACACTTGAAAATCCCGTTTGCGGTTTGCCGTTATCCCGAAAACCGTGGAGCTAAATGTCTCTAATACTATTATAAGGCATCTTGCGTTTGATATCCTGTGCAAAAGAATCTGGAACAGCAAACTCGACCATATAAAAGAAAACATGTTCTCCGATGATTAAGAGAGTTTCGTGGTATCCCACCTAAGTTCGCCATGAATAATACAGTATTGAGCAACCGTTGTATAGATTTTGTCAGTTTGATAATATATTTTATAGCAACAAAACGTACCTCGACATAATTTGTAGGAAAAATTCCACGCCTTCCATTTAATTCTCCGTCAATCCAGTTCTTGTCCACTTGTCTTCTCACGGCGATGATGTCGCCTTTTCTGAATGACAGCTCTCTGGTGAATGAGAAAGCAATTCTGTCAACATAACTATAAAATTACAAACAAACGTTTTGGTGAAATGGGCGAGAGTGTGAAAGACACGCACATGTATGAACACCAAACTAAACGAGTAAGACAGACTTCACGCAGTCTTCTCCATTCTTACTAAGTCATCAAACGCGCGTTCTTTTAGACCTTGTCATCATGTTTAATTTAAGTGTTAACTGTAAGTCTATAGCAACAATGCGCAAAACAAGAACAAATATATATACCACGATACTTGTAAAACAACAACAAGCTTTTTTTTCCCACGACTCGCCTCATAATGCCTGCTGAATTTCGAGAGAAAAACAGATTGCCAGCAGTCTAAGGCTGACTTACTTCTCTGTCTGACCCTGGAAGCTGTACAAAGCCCTGGCCAGGAACTGTGGTTTATTGGCTTCTCTTCTGGCAGTTTCTTCCTCCTCTCTTCTTCTCCTTTCTAGTTCAGCCTCGTACTCTCTCCTCAATCGTTCTTCTTCCTGACTCCTCCTCAACCTTTCATCTTCCTCTTCCCGTCTTCTCCTCTCCTCTTCTTCTCTTCGTCTCTGTTCTTCTTCCTCCCTCCTTCTGCGTGCGGCCTCCTCCTCTCGTCTTCTCAACAGATCTTCGTCTGATGGAGGTTGTTGTCGGATTTGTAGTTCTTCTGAGGCAGTTCGTGTTGGACCCTGAGTAGAATATCAGAAACAAAACTATCTTAAAAACTATTACAGGAGCTCGGTCACGGTATTTTGACTTGTTTTGGCCACCTGCAAAATCACCTTCAAATTGAAGGAAACCTGAAAATAGTATTTTACTAATAAACCATAAAGAAACAAGGATGGCTGAGGATGGAGAATATTCGCGCGGATTACAAACGACGAACTTGAAAGATTTAGCCTAAACTTTACAAGATGTGCAAACCGTGACGTACTCCTTTAAGAGCTTTGTTTATTGTGTACTGAAATAACCCTAAGCAGAAACATATCACCTGGGTGATATGCTTCTGTCCTATGTTATTGTTTGCTTACCGAAACGTCCGAAACTCAAAATACAAATTCTCTTCACCTATTTCTACACATATCTTTTATTGCTTGTTTTGAGAATTTGGCGTTACGAGATTGCCTAAGTTATGCTCCTTACAGTACTACTACTCGAACCGGGCCAATTGTAAAAGAGTAAACCAATCAGAACGTTAGTTGTGAACAAAGGATAGCGATCTTTTTCTCGAATAAACCAATAAAATTGAAGAATACGAACAATAGATCTTAACAAAACTGAAAACTCAACAAAGTGTTGCGAATCTCTCGGAAAACTTTCGGAACCTCTTGGAAAGGTTTCGATCCTAACTTTTGTGCGCTTTTCAACGGTTTCGGTTTAGCTATCGCTAAAACAGTTTTCAAGCTAAATTTTTCGAGCGAGATCGTAACAACTCCCAGTCAAGGACTGAATCTCTAAGGGTGTATATAACGCAGTCGATAGTGTTTATATTTTCACGTCAAACAGACCGTTACTTGCCGTAACAAGAAGCTACCAGTCCTTTGTTCTCAGTCTACGTTTTCATTGGTTAGCTTTCTTTTAGGTTGCCCGGTTCGAGTACTCGTACTGTAACTGCCTGATCTACAACGTGTCGAAACCGTAGAGAAAACAGTTAATAACTAGCATTTAGAGGTCAATTACTCTTGCGAATAACGCATTAAATTGACTGTTAAAATGTAGTGATTTTTGACTCTCTTGACCAGAACAAAACGAATGTCTGGATAAAACAATACGTCGTAGCTATACGAAAACCAGAAAAAAAAATGTGGAAATGTGGTCAAACACAGTCTTTCGTGTTTGAAATATGACACAATGATTCCAACAACGACTAGAAACCTGTTGATATGGACTCTAACGCACAAACCACTATAGCATGAAAAAGAAACGAAACTGTCACAAAAGAACGACAAATTACCGGTGGCCTTCTTTGGAAGCGACTCTCGTACAAACTTGTCGCACTGGGAGGCTGGTATTTCTCTTCCATCTGAACTGTCACAGATCCTGGAGATCTCCTTTGGTCTAAGTAAGATGGAGACACGTTCATCGTCGTAGGCGCTGTGGAGACTGGTTCCTGAAATCTTCTCTCCTCGCCGACATTTGCTATAAAGAAAAGACAAGCGAAATAACTCAGTGAAATAACGCAAACTCTGATCACCTGACGTTGACTAAAATAGAAATATTGGTTGAAACAGAGAAAATGTTGATGAACTTTAGCGCACTGTAGAGACACTTATAGAAGTATTGGATATGACTGCACAACTATAGGAAAGGTCGCCTTAAGTTTGCGATTCTCGTTAGTTTTGTTTTGTTTTGTTTTGTTTTTTTCAGACTCTACACAAACAGACGAATGTTTTTTTTTTTTCACTGATCAAGTTTAAAAGTTAAACAAATTAATCTAACTCTCTTCGCCCGCTTAATCCATCGATGAGGCAGTTCTACAGCATCTCTGATTGACCGTGATTTGCACGCGCAAATTCATCAGCAAATAACCGTCAATGTGAAAAAGGGAACAGATCTCTTCAGATACTTCATAAGAAATGAACCTCAGACCTCCTGCGGATGCTCAGGCTATTAAGCTAACTTAACGTCGACTGGGCTGCAAGGCAGGTAGGGTCAGCAAGCAAGACTCGTAGATAGAACTGCTGTCGTTATTTACCATAAGATGGCTTCTTGTGAACAATGTAAGACTCTGGTTCTTCAATCGTCTGCACTGGCACCTCAACTCCTTTCTGCATATCCTTGTACCACGCTGGAACATGACTCTGGCTCGGCCGTGACGGTTTTCTCTCGCCGGTCTGCTGCCAGGAAGGTTTTCGATCGTTTTCGTCACTGGACCATGCTGGGGTAGGCTGCGACGACACGTTACTTGTGTTAGCACTTCTAACCGGAACTTCATTGACATAATCTGTCCTCCTTGAAAACACATCATTGTCTCTGTAGTCAGGAGACGGAGACGCGCTCCTTGGTGGCGTTGAAGAACCAGAACCGCCTTCGTACTCTCTCACTGTTCCCTTGGCGACATCACTAGCGAGTAACCCCGACAGATTCGAGGAGGCTGAATGGAAAGAAAAGATCTTATTAGAACTTCAAATTTAGCTCTTTTACTTTTTCTTGCGTCAAGCAATGTCGTCCATTCATGCGTGACCACGCTGTACAAGGTGGTTCTAACTATTAAGTCTGTAGATTAAACCCTTATGTGTGACCATTCACATGAAAACTATTTAACAGTACTTTCATGTGGTATTGTTTATTTGGTTGTACAAAGTGTTTCTAGCTTTTAAGTCCAAGAAAGAATATTAGGGTTTGACCTTTCGAATGAAAGCTATTGAGTAGTATCTTCATTTGATGCTGTTTTACACAGAGAGTGAGTAACTAACAATGACTTATTTCAGATAACAACACATACTTCCTGCATTTGAATGTAATTCTTTGAACATCTCCTTGTACCACTTCCCTCCTCTTTGGATTGACTACAAAAACAAGAAAGTTAACGTAACATCTTAACAACAGGCCACTTTACAGTTGCGTGCTCAGTGACCTGGCCCACGAATGAAAGCGAGGCTGGAGGTGGCCTTGGAGGTGGGCTTGCTCTCTGCTTTTGTCATGTACATGTAGATCCAACTAGTTTGTATTAGAACAAGGTGATTTACAAAACAAAAACAGTGAGGTCTGTATCAAAACAAGGTCACCTCCAGCCTTGCTGTCATTCAAAGGCCAGGTCACAGAGCAGACAACTGTAAAATGGTCTATTGATTTTACACACTGACTTTAACTCCTGTGTTAAGGATGCATCAAAGTGTGCAGTGCCGAGCATTTAAACAAAATACAAATTTATAAAGCAAAATTGAATTTCTCCATTCCCTCATGATAAGTGCCATCGGAAAAATATACAAATTACTACATATAAATAAATAAACAATAAATGGGAGTTATTATTAAAAACCTCCACAGAGCAGCTATTCATACATTGTTTCGGAATCAAATTGGAATTTTAACACCAATAACAACAACAACATTTATTGATATAAGGGAGACAAAAAAATAAAATACGAAAAAGTTCAACTTATAATTTTGAAACTTAATAATTTTGAAAGTGTTTAAAAGGGGAAGAACATGAGCTTACTACTGCAGGACGTGAGTGTAACTTACTGGGCGATGAGGTCCTGCATTAGTTGTCTCCAAAATTTTCCGCTCGTCGCCGTATTTCCTGGGTTTGGTTTGAGTTGGTGGAGCTGCTCTGATGGGCTTTGGTTCCAATGTGGCTGAAATGCGAGGTTAATCCATTATCACTATACACAGACGTGTATCAAAATGTTGTTTCAAACTTTCAACAGAAGCTGACTGACACTGAAGCCCTGAGGGCTATTAAATGTTACATGTTGAATGTTACTTTATAGTGGTTGATGTGCTTAGCTACAACTAGCTAGTTCTAAGACATGCCACTTAAACTGAAAGAAAGATCTAAATATTCCAAATAAACATGATAGGCTTAAAATTCCCAACTGGCGGGAGGCAGACCAGTTGGCTATTTCCAAGCATGGCCAAAGAAACAACTCCAGCTTAGTGGTCAGAGCAGGACTTGAACCCACAACCTCCAGATTTCAAGTCCGGCTCAGCCACGCTGCCTCCACATGATATGGCTAGCTCCGTGAGAGGGCAAGATGAACTGAAACCCTCGCTGTGATTAGCTAGCTGAACAGGCAAGATGGCGCTACATGTATCTTGCCTGCTCAGGATTACCTGTTGTGTCCCGCAAGAAAATATAGTTCTTTCACCATAATCACATGACCCATACCTTCAACAGCTGCCTGTTCTTTTTGTTTTCTAAACTGCTGCAGAGCTGGTCTATTTGTCACTGACGGAGCTGAGTCAGAACTACTTGCATCACCATTTGCCATGTTGAACTCTTCTTCAGAACCAATAGAACCTGATGTCAACCTTGAAAAGAAACAAAGAAAAACTTATAGGCAAGTCAAATTGAAATCAAGTTTAACTACATGTTATTGTGCTGTTATCAGCCCTCCAGGTTGCAACATGTTTTGACAGTTCAGAGCGATATCGTCTGGAAAGCAGACAAATTACTGCCTGTTGTTGCATGCCAATAGGCAGGGATATCTGTCTGCATTCCCATGATGGGCAGCAACGTGGGTTACAACCAGTTTTGAAATACAACCACAAGATTCTCAGAAAGTAATTTGACACCTTATAAATTTTCAGTTTAAATTCTGTTCAAGCTGCACTTTCCTTTATTCTCTACTGACAGCTTGGATGAACACATGTACTTCTAAGACATCAATCCAGGCAATAACTAAGGTTCTTGCTTAGGCTTGACTCTTTGGTATTCTCTTTTTATGAGTAAAATGTTGCAGATTTATACCACTGGGAATACAAATTAAAGCTATTAATTCAAAACAAAGTTTTACTACTCAGTACCTTGTTGTTTACATGTACGGCATGCAAAGCATTATTCCACTGCATGCTGTTGTTGTTTAATTGGGAAAGTTCATAAAAGTTTTTAAATCACTTTCAAACAATCAATAAAAAGTTTAAAGTTACGTATTTTTAAATGTTTATACCCCAAGTGTAATGTTTTTGGTCTCTCAATTCTTAATCAATATGACATTTAGACTGTCTCGTTTATCACTTTACTTGCTTTCCTCATTATTAATTTTATTTATAAATGAGTTTTCTCTTGGTGTACAATAAGTTACCCCAATTATAATTATGCTTAAAATTCTGTCTCCTTGCATAATTCACCATTAATTATTTTAGTGATGCACACATTTAATTTCATTACTTTAAATACTTTTAATGCAGTTATTTGCAAAATATTTAATTTCACCTATTTTAATTTTAAACTTTGCTAGTCATCTTCTTCCTCATATGTATGTTTATGTGTTTATTGTTAATTGAAACATTATTGGGAAGCTACCAAAAAGTACACTGTACAGACAGCATTGGTACAAATTTGCCTGTACAACAATGACAGCTAGTGGATGGAAAAAATGAAAGATATAGAACAAGCGAAACACCACTCACACACAAAGGAGAATAAAGCTGTACTAGTCAGAAAAAATGATTTACAATTTAAGAAACATTGTTTACAAAAAAGGGCCTGTTAAAATACCTTGGGACATTTTTATTTCTGCAGTATGCGATCAGTCATGCAAGCAAGACAGTGGAACAGTATTCATGGTGGGCGTAAGGCAAAGTTAGACTGTAACTTACCCATTTCCATATGCAAAGGAAATTATCATGAAGGAGGTACATAAGTCAATGATGAATGAAATGGAAAACAAGTTATGACAATGAGTGCAGAAACTAAGTTATTGTGAATTATAAAACGCGAGTTAAAGTGCAAAATGAGAAGAAATTATTGGGAATACTAACTGTAAATTAGTCCCAGTTGTCGGTAAACCACTTTCATCAAATCTATGAAATTATACATAGGAACAAGGAAAAAGTGATGGGCATTAGTAAAATTTTGTAAAGAATCTTGACAACACTGAACACTTAATAAATACTTACCATTATGATATAACTGTTGTAAAATTATTTTTGATTACAGCCATCCACTGTTAAATGTTATGCCTGGGAATTTAAATTCCTCTAACTAAAATAATTATCTAAATGAGTGCAAACAGTGATCGTCAATTAAAAATGATAAGATTGGTCTATTCAGTAACATTTTTTAATCAAGGCTACATTTGTAACACCACTGTCTAGAGTCCAGTCTAGTCTCCCTCCCCCAAAAAGATAGTCTGACCACATTAAACTTCATGACTAACTAATTAAATGTGTGGTATTCTTCTAGTAGAAGTTACCCATAAAGAGGTGGAAAGCAGGTCATGAGACCTTGCTGGACTTACTGTAAACATGGATTAACTCTTCTACTTAACTCTTCTACAGAAGTTTTTTTTNAGACTGGTTCCTGAAATCTTCTCTCCTCGCCGACATTTGCTATAAAGAAAAGACAAGCGAAATAACTCAGTGAAATAACGCAAACTCTGATCACCTGACGTTGACTAAAATAGAAATATTGGTTGAAACAGAGAAAATGTTGATGAACTTTAGCGCACTGTAGAGACACTTATAGAAGTATTGGATATGACTGCACAACTATAGGAAAGGTCGCCTTAAGTTTGCGATTCTCGTTAGTTTTGTTTTGTTTTGTTTTGTTTTTTTCAGACTCTACACAAACAGACGAATGTTTTTTTTTTTTCACTGATCAAGTTTAAAAGTTAAACAAATTAATCTAACTCTCTTCGCCCGCTTAATCCATCGATGAGGCAGTTCTACAGCATCTCTGATTGACCGTGATTTGCACGCGCAAATTCATCAGCAAATAACCGTCAATGTGAAAAAGGGAACAGATCTCTTCAGATACTTCATAAGAAATGAACCTCAGACCTCCTGCGGATGCTCAGGCTATTAAGCTAACTTAACGTCGACTGGGCTGCAAGGCAGGTAGGGTCAGCAAGCAAGACTCGTAGATAGAACTGCTGTCGTTATTTACCATAAGATGGCTTCTTGTGAACAATGTAAGACTCTGGTTCTTCAATCGTCTGCACTGGCACCTCAACTCCTTTCTGCATATCCTTGTACCACGCTGGAACATGACTCTGGCTCGGCCGTGACGGTTTTCTCTCGCCGGTCTGCTGCCAGGAAGGTTTTCGATCGTTTTCGTCACTGGACCATGCTGGGGTAGGCTGCGACGACACGTTACTTGTGTTAGCACTTCTAACCGGAACTTCATTGACATAATCTGTCCTCCTTGAAAACACATCATTGTCTCTGTAGTCAGGAGACGGAGACGCGCTCCTTGGTGGCGTTGAAGAACCAGAACCGCCTTCGTACTCTCTCACTGTTCCCTTGGCGACATCACTAGCGAGTAACCCCGACAGATTCGAGGAGGCTGAATGGAAAGAAAAGATCTTATTAGAACTTCAAATTTAGCTCTTTTACTTTTTCTTGCGTCAAGCAATGTCGTCCATTCATGCGTGACCACGCTGTACAAGGTGGTTCTAACTATTAAGTCTGTAGATTAAACCCTTATGTGTGACCATTCACATGAAAACTATTTAACAGTACTTTCATGTGGTATTGTTTATTTGGTTGTACAAAGTGTTTCTAGCTTTTAAGTCCAAGAAAGAATATTAGGGTTTGACCTTTCGAATGAAAGCTATTGAGTAGTATCTTCATTTGATGCTGTTTTACACAGAGAGTGAGTAACTAACAATGACTTATTTCAGATAACAACACATACTTCCTGCATTTGAATGTAATTCTTTGAACATCTCCTTGTACCACTTCCCTCCTCTTTGGATTGACTACAAAAACAAGAAAGTTAACGTAACATCTTAACAACAGGCCACTTTACAGTTGCGTGCTCAGTGACCTGGCCCACGAATGAAAGCGAGGCTGGAGGTGGCCTTGGAGGTGGGCTTGCTCTCCGCTTTTGTCATGTACATGTAGATCCAACTAGTTTGTATTAGAACAAGGTGATTTACAAAACAAAAACAGTGAGGTCTGTATCAAAACAAGGTCACCTCCAGCCTTGCTGTCATTCAAAGGCCAGGTCACAGAGCAGACAACTGTAAAATGGTCTATTGATTTTACACACTGACTTTAACTCCTGTGTTAAGGATGCATCAAAGTGTGCAGTGCCGAGCATTTAAACAAAATACAAATTTATAAAGCAAAATTGAATTTCTCCATTCCCTCATGATAAGTGCCATCGGAAAAATATACAAATTACTACATATAAATAAATAAACAATAAATGGGAGTTATTATTAAAAACCTCCACAGAGCAGCTATTCATACATTGTTTCGGAATCAAATTGGAATTTTAACACCAATAACAACAACAACATTTATTGATATAAGGGAGACAAAAAAATAAAATACGAAAAAGTTCAACTTATAATTTTGAAACTTAATAATTTTGAAAGTGTTTAAAAGGGGAAGAACATGAGCTTACTACTGCAGGACGTGAGTGTAACTTACTGGGCGATGAGGTCCTGCATTAGTTGTCTCCAAAATTTTCCGCTCGTCGCCGTATTTCCTGGGTTTGGTTTGAGTTGGTGGAGCTGCTCTGATGGGCTTTGGTTCCAATGTGGCTGAAATGCGAGGTTAATCCATTATCACTATACACAGACGTGTATCAAAATGTTGTTTCAAACTTTCAACAGAAGCTGACTGACACTGAAGCCCTGAGGGCTATTAAATGTTACATGTTGAATGTTACTTTATAGTGGTTGATG